CAAATAGCTTCTTATTTCTCCAAAGTGTCCTGGGTCTTATTGTCTTATGTCATGACCCTGAAATTTGTTTTCGAGTACACATTCAATTTTCACGTGGAATCTGATTCCGCCACCCTTTCAACTATTCCTCACCTCTGAACATGCCATTGGTGCAAAATAATCTATTGTTTCTCCTCTCACTCTTCTGTAATAACCTCAGGGAAATTAGCTAGTGCTGTGTACAACATTGATTATTTTACTTCCAGAACAAGACAGTTTTGATAATGCATGTAATGTCTTTGAATGAAGGCCCTTTTCCACAGCACCAGATGAGCATTTAGGATCCCATTCCAATATTCAAAGGAGAGCACTTCAGCATTCGAAAGAGAATTCTGATTGCCAACCCTCCTGTCACCTAACATCATCAACTAGAAAGAACTGGTCAAAAATTGTTTTGCTATCTGTGGGATCTAGCTATACAAAATGTGGCTGCATTTTGCCTATGAAACAGTAATCTGAAGTAATTCAAAACCTGATGCTTTTATATAAATAAATATATGGTACACAGTGATTGACATTTGAAAATGACATGCTGACTCCATGTTTGTGATATTATTTGTAATCATGGGTTCTGAAGTGGTCAAAACCATGTATGGTCTTAAATTTGATGTACATTACCATATTGTGTGTGTGTGTTAAGGGGAGATATGGGGGTTGAATTTTCTGAGGTGCAGTAACTTCGTGCAGTTTACTAGTCTGCTTTTTTTTTATGAAAGGAGAGAGCTCCGAATTTCTATGATGAGATTCTGATCAGGGCTCCTTCAGAAATGTGGAGCCATACATCATTTCTGACAGTTCTTTTGTAATGCAGAGGGACCAGGAAAAGGCAAACCATAACCCCATGACAAAGGTCCAAAATCATTGTCACTTTAACAGTTACTGATAAATGGTAAGTATATATGTTAAGTGTGAAGTTAGGGTGATGGCAAGCAAGGGGGCCAGGAGAGTGATTGCCTAGTATAGGTCAGGATGTGTGGGAATAATAGGTCTGGTAGGAAAGGATGCGAATTGGGTCAGGGGTTGCAAGTGCAATACAGATGGAGAAGGGGATCAAGTCTCTGGGGTGGGAGGGAGAAGCAGTTTGGGTCCAGAATGGGCAAGGGGCAGAGCAGATTGTGTCCAGGGAAAAGAGACGAGTGTGTCTGGAGCAGGTGAAGGGTGAGAGAAGATCAGGTTGGATCCAAAATGGTTAAAGATGGATTGGGTCTGAAATGGGGTGGGATCCAGGAATGTCAGGTGATGGTCAGGGAAGTGTAGCTGAACTGAAGGCATATTTGGAGTGTTAAGTTAAGGATGGGTTGAGTTGAATAGTTACTCGGGAGTTAAGACTATGCATTTAACAGTCTAACACTTTGATTTATTATTTACTAAATTTCACTGGAGACCTCTGAATTCTGTAGTTTAAATGGAGACTTTCAGAGAGTTCCAAGCATAGAGTAATTGCCCCTTGGAATCTTCAAATTTCTTGGCCATTCCTCTGATGTCTGCCAGGTTGGGGATCCACAGGGCTCATAGTGCAACTCCCATCTATGTTGAAATAACACCTATCTGGTCATCAGAAAAGCCAGGCCATTGTTTTATTTTTACTTTTATATTTGTTCTGCATGTTACTGGAGTGTCTGAAGTTTGTTACATGATTTTTTAATGAGGGTTCACCAGCTTGGAGTAGAGCTTCAGGCAAACAGTTTGGTCTATTAGGAAAAAGTGGTAGAAGAAGGTTTTTAAAAACAACTGCTGTTGCCTAGCCGGTAAGGTCCAGTAGCACAGAAGACTGAGAAATTTAGGGCAGGCAATGGGCAGACATTCCCTATGTGTGAAAAGGTGCTGCTTGTTTGGCAGTCTTCAAAAAGTCAGGGCTGGAGAAAAATTCCTGTGTGGCTCGAGGAAAACATCCTCAGATGTTGGAAGCTGAGGGTATAGAAGACTTGTTTGCTTTGAAACTATTTGGAAGTTAACACCGAGAAAGCTCCAGAAACCAATTACAGCTCAGCCAACTGAAGAAGAAACTTTAAAGTGGAAACAAGGTGACCTCGACTAAGATTGAGCATCTGTCAGGTTCTTGTTGAGGGTAAATCTTTAGCCCTGATAGAATCATAGAAACAAACCCTTCAGTTCAACTTGTCCATGCCAACCAGATATACTAAACTAATCTAAAAATAGGTCAGGAGATGCCTACAGGAACAGCATCAGAAAGATTCTACATGCCCCAACACAGTCATCACACTACCCTACATCAGGAACACGTCAGAACTCACCACAAGACTTCTACGACTGCTGGGCATCAGAGTGGCACACAAACCCAAATCAACCCTACGACAAGTGCTCACCCGAACTAAAGACCCACTCCCCGCCATGGACAGGACCAATGTCATCTACAAGATCCCCTGCAGAGACTGCGAGAAACACTACATCGGACAAACAGGAAGGAAACTAATAACAAGAGTACATGAACACCAACTGCCTACAAAAAGACACGACCGATACTCACTCATCTCAATCCACATGGACAAGGAGAACCACGACTTCAACTGGGACAACACCAAGATCCTGGGACAGGCTAGGCAGAGACAAGCACGAGAATTCCTGGAAGCATGGCACTCCACGAAGCAGGCTATTAATAAACACATTGAACTCGACCCCATATACGTTCCACTACAGAGGAAACCCAGAAGTGAGGCAATCCATCGCGACGGACCCCAGAGTTTAAAAACCAGGCGGGAAAACTCACCGCTTCATCAGAGGCTGCACTGAGGATGTTACCGAGCATGGTAACGAAACATCTGCAGAACAACAAACCAGCTCGGCGAGCCAACCAACCTCAACACCCACAACCCGAGCTACAGATCTACTCCAAAACCTTAGTAATCTAATTCCATTTGCCAGCATTTGGCCTGTATTCTTCTAAATCCTTCCTATTCTAATACCCATCCAGATGCCCTTTAAAAGTTGTAATTGTACCAGCCTCCACCACTTCCTCTGGCAGTTCATGCACCACCCTCTGCGATAAAATGTTGTCCCTTAGATCCCTTAACCTATGTCATCTGGTTTTGGATTCCCCTACCCGGTGGGAAAAGACCTTGGCTATTCACCCTTTCTATGTCCCTCATGATTTTATAAACCTTGATAAGGTCACCGCTCAACCTCCGATGCTCTAGGGAAAATAGCCCTAGCCTATTCAGCCTCTCCTTATAGCTCAAACCCTCCAAACCTGGCAATGTCCTTGTAAATCTTTTCTGAACCCTTTCAAGTTTCACAACATCTTTCCTATAGCAGGGAGATCACAATTGAATGCAGTATACCAATAGTAGCCTAAACACTGTCCTGTACAGCTGCAACATGACTTCCCAACTCCTATCCTCAATGCGCTGACCAACAAAGGCAAGTATACCAAATGCCTTCTTCACTATCTTATCTACCTGTGACTCCACTTTCAAGGAACTATGAACCTGTACTCCAAGGTCCCTTTGTTTAGCAATACTCCCCAGGACCTTACCATTAAGTGCACAAGTCCTGCCCTGATTTGCCTTTCCAAAATGCAGCACCTCATATTTATCGAAATTAAACTCCATCTGCCACTCCTGAGTCCATTGGCCTATCTGATCTGATCTGTTTCAAGTAGTTCTTTTGTGTAAAATAGTTCATGTATTTTTTGGGTGAAATAAACTTTGTACTTTTAATAAAAGAACATCATCATGAACACACCTGAACTGAAATATAAATAAATTGCTAGGAAAAACTCAGCAGGTCTGTTGCCATCTGTGAAGGGGATGCAGAGTTAATGTTTCGGGTCCAGTGATCGACCTTCAGAACTAGGCTATTTCAGGGCGTCTATGCAAAAATATAATGCCGAGTTTCAGTTTGGGACCTGTCCACTTACGTAAAATGCAACATGTTTTGATGTATGATGTCCACTTATCTCCAATAAGCCTAGTATTAACGTACTTTTTACAGTACACATAAGCACATTAATAATCACTCAACATTTTTCAGGGAAGTGAGAACCTCTCAATCGTTATTTTTAGTGTACACCTCATCCCTCTCTCTCCTCCTGACTAAAGTCCAGAAACTTCTGAGCAGTGGTCACTGAAATCAGAAACTCTGCCTTCTCTGCACAGATACTGCCGGACCGGCCGAGTTTCTCCAGCAATTTCTGTTCTTGTTTCGAGGATAAAAATAAATCTAACGTTCTGTACCCAAAAGTGAAGGATAGCATGTTGAGTGGAGTTTGATGGGTGCTTAGGATAGAGGAAGATACTGGGCCTACTCCAGTCATTGACTGACAGATGCCTTACAGTTGCACACACAACTCTCTCATCATCAACCGCTTTATTTACCAAACCCCCTCCACCTCAACCATACGTGCTGGCCGCCCGGGCTCTGATTGACGGCTAACGGCCCCAATCACCTTCTGTATCTCAGCCATCAATCAACGGCAAGCCCCACCCTCTTCCTCTTTCCTCCAATCGCTGAACCAGCAAGTTAGATTTTACCCCTTCACTTTGTGCGTATGTTTTCATTTTTTAAAAAAAGGGTCGTCTTTTCCTTTAACAAAATGCTCGAACTTGACACGCGTCGGCAACGCTTCTCCCTTACACACAACTTGACGGACTGCTCGGCCGAACCGAAAAAAAAGTCCCTCCATCGCCAGGTTAACCGACGGCCGTAACCTTTCACCCTCGAAATCTCGAACCCGCGCTGGGAGCGCGCCCCGTGCGGCGCTGATGGACAGCAGACGCATCCAATCGGAGGGCGGCGGTGTACGGAGTTCAGCCAATGGCGATGGAGATGGTCCGGGTGTTTCCGTCAGGCCGTTCGGGTCTGCTCGGTGGCGGGAGGTGTCGATCGGCCGCCGGTCAGGAGCCGAGCTGCGGAACACTCCCGCCATTTTTGAACTCTGCCGCTGGAGCCGGGGCGTGAGGATCGCGCCTTCTCTTTCACTTTTGGGCGATTGGAGCAGCCGAGAAGCGGACAGTCCTTTAACCTCTCTTCCCCACCCCCCCACCCCCCTTCCCTATCACTACCGGCAGGAGCTCCTTCTGAGAGCCGAGCCGGCTGGCCGGCTGGACCATGGCGCCGCTGCTGGGCAGGAAGCCATTCCCGCTGGTGAAGCCGCTTACAGATCTGTCGGCAGAGGAGACCATCTATGTGATCGAGCACAGCGGAGAGGGGTTTCGGAGCAACGAGTATCCTTTAGATCCGAGCCAGGGACCTGAGGGGATCGGAACCCGGCCTTGGGCGATAGACGGCGTCTCCTAGGGACAGGGGCCTAGGTTTGGGGCAGGAGCTGGTGATTTTCCTGCTGCCAGGAAGGAGATGCTGTGGGGAGATAGCGCCCTGCTGTCACTATCTGTCAGCGCAGGCCTGATCAGCGGCAGTGTCCTCCTGAGTGAATTCAGTCAACGTTACCAACTCTACAAGTTAGTCATTGTCAGGAGGCCCTTTGCTGCCAGGCTGGGCCTACTCTCAGGCAGCTTTATCGTGCAGTCCTGGAGGGGAATGAATAAAGGGGCCGCACGGGAACGAGCTTCCACTCAGCTCACAAATTAAACGTGTGGCTGGTCTACGGTTCCATGTTTAACTACTTTCACGACAGGACTGACTGCAGCTGTCAAAAGACTGGTCCAGCGCTTTCCCTGCTTAATGCTGATGCTTCCACAGCATCAACCTTTTTAACGAGTGAATGACTTGTTATCTTTGCAACTTTGTGAATTTGTTACTCAAATTGCTTTTAGTCACTCTGGATCTGTATTAAATTGATTAGCTTCATGCAGAAATGAAAATTGCGTGTGCTGGAGACGCACAAATAGCTAAAAATGCTAGAGGCACACAGCAGGCCAGTCGTCATCTGGAAATCAGGGGGTCGTGATATTCTGGTCTTGAGTTAGTGATCTGTTCCCTTTTGTAAAATGCTGTTCTCTGTGCTTTAATTGTTGTTTAGAGCTAAATATTCTATATGTTTCTGATATGGACAGTACCATCTTCTGTGAAGCTTTAGGAACATTATCATAAATGAAACTGTTTAATGTATTAAAGTAATTTGAGGAAAGCTTGATTCAAGAATGCATTGGAACAGTTAGAAAGATGTCAGAGTGTTTTTAAAAAAAAATTTAGACTTTTTTGGGTTTGTGTTCTGAACTTATTTTTATTTCTGATCTACAGGAGTGCTTACACCTCCCCCCTAACCTCCATTCAAGGCCCAAAGCAAACCTTTCATATTTGACAGGGGTTCACCTGTACATCCGCCAACTTGGTCTACTGTACCGCTGCTCCTGATGTGGCCTCCTCTACATGGGTGAGACCAAGCGGATACTCTGGGACAGTTTCATAGAGCATCTGCACTCTGTACATGATAAACGGCAACATCTTCCATTCACCAACCATTTTAACTGCCCTCTCCACTCCTTGGGTGACATGTCCATCCTGGGCTTCCTCTAGTGCCACAATGACACCATACGCAAACTAGAGGAGCAGCACCTCATATTCTACTTCAGGAGCCTATAGCCTGATGGCCTGAACATAGAATTCACCAGTTTTAAACTCCCCCCCATCCCTGGCCTCATCGCATGTCAAAACATCCCACTCATCCCCGCCTCCTTGACCTGATACAACCTGTTTATCTTCCCCACCTATCTGCCCTACCCTTCCTGTCGACCAATCCCCACCACTCCTTACCTGCATTCATCTATCACCATCCACCTACCTTCCTCAGCCTCACCCCTCTTCTTTATTTATTTCCCAGCTCCCTTCCCTCCTCCCCATTTCTGAAGAAGGGTCCTGACTGGAAGCGTCAACTTTCCTGCTCCTCTGATGCTGCCTGGCCTGCTGTGTTCCTCCAGCTCCACACTGTGTTGTCTCTGACTCCAGCATCTGCAATTCTTGCTATCTCTGAGTTCGCATACTTTGTTTGCTGAAGGCGCAGTTCATGCATTTCATTCTAAAACGCAATAAAAAGATTCTACAAGGGTTTTGCATGCAAGAAATGTAAGTGAAAGGAAATAGAATTCTTCTAAAAGCAGTATGTACATCAATTGTAGTAAAAAGCTTCAATAACTAATTTTATTCCCTTAGCTGTGGCTACCAGTTTAACCTTTCTACTAGCTCGTATAGATTCGCACAAGGCTTGTGTAGAAGGTTTCAAAATAAAATGACATCTGTGTCATTAGCTGAGCTGTTTAAATGTGTTGGTAAGGATTTTTTGAGAAAAGAAAAACTTTATTTAAAATAAATTCTTAACTTTTGAGTTATGGCAGTTTGTGTAAAGTTTCCAGTTTTTTTAGTTTATCTAGGTCTGGAATCTGTGAACTTGAGAACACTGTGTGCTTTGATCAATAGCACCCTGCTTTCATTGAGATCTGTAAGGGCAGTACTGCAGTTCTCCGGTCAACTGGGCAAAGTTTAGAACTATGATTTGTCATACCTTCCTGGTCATCAAGATGCTTAGGGTGCAGCATTTCATGATTATAAGCCCTTTTTTTAAATGAAGAAAGAAGGCTGGTTACTTTTAAAAAAAGGTTCAAAAACTGCTATAGTACAGTTATTTGGCCAATCTTGTTTAGAAATGGCACTAGGATATCAGTGTATTTGAATGTCATCTTCAAATGAGAGGTTGGAGGTGACTGGAGTGCAGGAACAAAATCATTGTATGTTCTTGTGGAAGACCATTTTACTGGTGTTTTGACAAGAGCTTATACCACATTGGAAGAAGAGCTTTGTTTGGTTAGCCATCATTGCCTGTCTGCAGATCTTTACTTGCAGCACTGTAAGTGGTGCTGAAGGCCTTGGAAAAGTGAGAAAATTTGTGTTTTTAAAACAGGACTGAACTCGATGATTGATTATGACTCATTGCCATCCAAATTTGACACTATGGCAGAAGGAGTTATTCTTTCTGAATCGATGTACAGATGAGCTGAGATTTCTTGTGCTATTATACAAGAATATTTTGTGACATTTTTGAATGATCCGAGTCTGAAGAATAAATCCAAACTTTGAAAATATTGATCATCTCCTGATATCTTTGATGGTTGTGATGCGAAATATGATGGTTTTAGGTAGTATTCCTGATTTGACGTGTACCACTAACTTCTATATGGGCAGCAGTCTCTGAGCGGCAGAGACAAATAACTTGTCCAATACTGATTGTGGAAAAAGTGGTCTCTACTGGAAAAGCAAGACTGCATCACGGTATAACTGGCTGCGGAAATTGATGTTGAGTCACATTATTACTGACAGGTGGCATGGTGGTTCAGTGCCTAGCACTGCTGCCTCATAGTGCCAGGAACCTGGGTTCAATTCCAGTCCTGAGTGTCTGTCTTTGTGCATTTGCACACTCTCCTTGTGTCTGTGTGGGTTTCCTCTGGGTGCTGTGGTTTCCTCCCACAGTTCAAAGATGTGCAGGTTAGATGGATTGGTTATGCTAAATTGCCCGTAATGTCTAGGGTGGGAATTGCAGTGATAGGGTTAGGGGTTGGGTCTGGGTGGGATGCTCTTCGGAGGGTTGGTGTGGAGTCGATGGGCGGAATGGCCTGCTTCCGTACTGCTACCATTCAGTAGATTCTGTGTGGAATTTCAGAATGATGCTGATGAGTAATGAAGTTACCTTGGTCACGTCTTTTCAATGATGGCAAAGGCTAAATGCAAGTTGTTGTGGTGCTTTGAACTGGATTACTGAGCAGTTTCTGAACGGACATGTCCTGTGCAATGTTTGATCTTCATGGGTAAGCTGTCAGTTAGACAAAAGGGTTTCTGTAGGTCTTTTAGCTTAATCTGAAGGTCGTGGCAGATTCAATGATTTTTTTTTAAACCACCCCCCACTAGGAAGTTGTAATGCACTTTTCTGTTGACTTTCACTGGCATGTTGTTGACAAATGCAAATTAGTCTCTTTCTTGGACATCATCTTGTTTAGGAATTATGCTTGTAGTTTACAAAAAGTCCTCTTTGATAATGGTCACCTTGAGGACAGTCCCCTGGTCAGGATACCATGTTGCGTTGTTGTCTCAATATCTACTTAAAGTATTAGTACCAGCAGATTGTAGCAAGAATTGTTTGTAAACAAATGTCTTGATTTGAGATGTCATTACATGAAACTTTGTTTCATTCTCATCAACTTTTCTTCTCTCTCCCCATCTTTTCTAAAGGCAGTATTAGTTTGAGCATCATTTGCTGTGTTGCACAGCTGTGACCTGGGGGTAATGCAAGAGCATCTGAGCATTGTCCAAACATTTTCATTGGAGTTGCTGGATAATGATCAGCAACTGGAAACTGACAATGATATCAAAAGAATTGTATTTGGAGCAATAACATGAGATTGTCATCTTAAGAGTGATGATCTTAATTCATCACTTCTGGCTGGCTGATTTGCTGAACAGTTTCTTGCTCTCGTGCATGCTCTCAATGAAGTCATCACATGGAATAAATTGTGGACTGTAGCCCTGACATCACTGCATTGAGCTATTGCACAATGTAGATCATCTTCATGTAAAAACAGTTCGATAATATAAAAGATTTGATTAATGATTATAGTAGAGTATGCTGATAGGAATTGGAAGCATTCAGATACTAGTAGTCTAGCAAAGTACAACAAAATGAGAATTTATGGGCAGAATGCATAATTATTTCTTCAGTGATATGAATCCATGGGGAATACAGTCACACTATAACTACTGGACTTAGACCAGTATTTTCAGTGCCTGACATACTACTAAGTTGCACTGAGATCAGTGATAAAGAGATGTGTGTCTGTGCTTGCAAACTTTCACAAGCAGCTCCAACAGGTGATGCAAAGGCCTAAGATAAGTTGGGCTCCTAAACTTCTTTTTCAATGTTTTTACAAATAGAAATTGCTGGCTAATAATGAATGTACTGATTTGTTGTGATAGTTTGTATCCTTGGCTTGATTTGTTCCTTCTGTGAAGGGAGTTACTTGTCTTCCAATTCTGATGCAAAGATTACGGTGAAATCATTCATCTATCTTTGTTTTTAAATTCAAATGGACCACCTGTTCAAAATTGTTACAGAGATAGTGGGAACTGCCGATGCTGGAGAATCTGAGATAACAAGGTGTAGAGCTGGATGAACACAGCAGGCCAAGCAGCATCAGAGGAGCAGGAAAGCTGACGTTTCGGGTCTAGCCCCTCTGAAGAAGAGTGTAGACCTGAAACGTCAGCTTTCCTGCTCCCCTGATGCTGCTTGGCCTGCTGTGTTCATCCAGCTCTACACCGTCTTATCACCTGTTCAAAATATCTGCTTTATACCCTAGTTTTCTTAAAATTTGTTTTTGCCATTGGTTTATGTGGATGGCAGGTAAGAACATGATCAAGTACGACTGTGTACTTTCACCATTGAATGGTCTGCAGATGCTTACTTTCTAGCTTCACAGGAATGGCTGCTTGGATGAAAAGCTGGCAGTTGCTTGGGACTACTGCATTTCATAGCAGTTGGTATCTTCAGATCAGGACAGACATTGGGGAAGATTGAAGAAAAATATGAAACAGTGGCCTCCATTTTGATTCAGGCATTAAGTGAACTGGAATGGGGGCAAATGGATTCAATGAATTGAGAATAGGGAACAGAAGGTCAAGGGTATGAAAGACTTCCATGTGATATTGTGATGTATTATGTTTCAAACAGTTTTTGTGCAAATCTTGCATTTCATTCTTTATTTTCCTGAGCTGATATTCAGAGAATATGAATCTCGATTGTCTAGATATGCAGAGCGAATCTGGACATGTAAAAGCACAGGCAGCAACCAACTCACACACAAAGAGGCCTGGGAAGAGGAGCAAGAAGTAACTGAGCTGTAAGTAAATGGCATTGTAAATTGCAAACTACATTTAGTAAGTTGGTAGCAATCTATTGCTAGAGAGAAATCCATAAAACTCTAGAAGCAGAGAGCATCTGATGTAACATTCATCTCTTAAGAACTGTCTGTGTCTCCAAATTAGTGGTGGGATTATGGCCCATATTGAGCCAAGCATGTGCGCTGGTTTCAACTTGGAATCTGTATCTAAGGACTATATTTGTTGAATAAGGCAGCATTTTTTGGACTGTAAAAATACAGGGTTGTATGTGATGTAGATTTTGTTTTGTCTGTCCAAAGTTAAAGGCAGGCAGACTAGTTCAAATGCATCTCCTGATCTATACAGAGCCTGCAGGATCTAATGGGTCTCATTTGGGGTGGTGTATGGAAGCTTATTCTGAGATGCGGTATTAATTAGCTTATCTGAAAATAATGGGTTGGAAATGGTTCTAATATAAGTTTTAACACAGTGCAGAGCTGAAGGAGCACAGCAGGCCAGGCAGCATCAGAGGAGCAGGAAAGTTGACGTTTCGGTTCGGGACCCTTTTTCAGAAATTTCTGAACGCACTGTGTTATCTCTGACTCCAGCGTCGGCAGTTCTTACTATCTCTAATATAAGTTTTACCCTGTGTAATGCATTTTTAAAACTATTACTTACCTGATTAAGGAAAGAATGAAACAAAGAAAAGTATGCACATGCACACACTTCTGTGCCTAGAGACATGTTCTCCACACTCTGCTTAGCTTCATTTTTTAATTAAAAGTTTGTATATCTCGTACATCTTGAAATGCAGATTACGGTATATTGAAAACAAGGGATCATGTCCTGTTTCCTTCACCATTTAATTCTTATTATGACATTTTCTGGCTTGAAAAAGGGGAAATTTGTAGTTTCTAGTCTAAATGCTTGATATTGAGAGGTGAAGGGAAGGAATGCTGTGTAAAACATGACAGTAATCATTTAAATACATGGCTCACCTGAATTGTATCTGCAGGAAATAATATCTGTCTGTTATGAAATCAAAATGCCATTCATTAGTCAATGTTAGTTTGAGATCAGATTTCATAATATGAGGTCGGGAGGGAATAATACTTGTGTTGATTGCAGGCTTATTTAACATGCTGGTATCAATCCTCTAAAGCAGTGCAGTTTAATGTGTCAATCTAGTATGTGTGGAATATTTTTAAAGTCATCATTTAAATTGCTTTTGCTGCTGGCATGCAGCTAGTGACCAATACTTCATCTTACTGTATTACTTAAAATACTCTCCTTCGATGTAAAACCAGGTTAGAAGAATGACCTCTCAGTAGTCCCTTTTTTCCTGCTTTGAATCTACATATTGAGATTTTGACCCTCCTTTCACCACAGCATCTCTACAGATATTGACTTGCTGAACGCTGCCCTCGCCTCTGTTTTTATAATCCTCGTTCTCCATAGGTCCATTACTTTCTCTCACTTTGGGCATTGCACTTGATATGTCCTTCATCTCCACTCGTTTGAGACCAGGCGATCCAGATCTATACGCTTGGTTCGGCCATTCACTGGCAGATGTGGCTGGACTACTTGGAATACTATCAGATTCTGCTCTTGTGTGTTAAAACTGCCTGTCAGTCCTGAACTAGAGATATCCCTCAGCTTTTCTTGACCAACGTTTGACCATCTGACTTAATATCCCCTGATGGGGCTCCATGTCTGACTTTGTTCTATAGTGCTCATCTTGAGAGCTTTCATTACTTTGAATGTGCTGTATAAATACAAGATGTCACTTCATGTAACTTCCTTTGCATCTAACTCATAATTACAACACTGGGCTGTAGTGCCAATATTACCATTGTTAATGGTAGTTAACCAGAATCAGGCAAGCTTTTTGATGCTGTCAAGTTGTGAAAGTGACTTGGTTAGGAAAAAGAAGAATGTGAGTTAAAACATGGCTGGTACATTTGATTTCATAGCAGTTTGAAGTTTTGTTGCGGCTGAGAATAATGTAGAATTCAGATGAAACATGCAGGAATACGATAACTACTTAGGCACCAGGGCCCTTGAATTATGTGGGATGTTTCAGTCATGGTTACTATTTATGATTCTTGATCACGCTGCACATTTGGAGAATGTAATTATATGGATGGATGAGAATTGATGAATAAGGATCAGGTCAGGCTTTGTTTGGATATTTTTCTTAGTCATACTTTTGACTGGAATTGCTTAGAAGCAAATAGATCTCTGAGATGCCAGAGGTCCTTGGTTGATTGTCAGTAGGCCTATGTGCTTTGAAGAAAGGGGGCTGGGCGGGCAAGCAGGGGCTGGTTGATTTTTATAAAAGAGACTTCTGTAAAAGATGTTTTCGTGAAGAGGGTGATGGTGTGAAATGATTTGCAAGTACCAGTGTTTGGCGCCATCGACTGGCTGAGTATAGAATGGACCTCACAATCATTGAGAAATCTTGCATAAGTAACAAAACTTTAATGTAGATAGGGGGAATGTGAGGATGTTGTGCTTTTAAGTTTAGTGAAGAGAGAAATTCTTGTTCTCCAATGTGTTGTGGGAAAAAAGAGCTTCACCTTTCCTGTTGCAGCTAGATTAAATAGGGCTTTGTTTTGTGAATCTTATTGTGTTGTTGGTCAGTTGGCTGCTAAGTTTTTATTAGACAGTTTATTTTCTCATCCTTCTGTCCTTATTCCACATGTTGAAATCAAGAGTCTTTTCACTTTGATCTATTCATCCCCAATTCCTAAATTGGAATTCCTCATCACCATTTTGTCTGTAACTGACAGGGTCTTAAATTGAAGATCTAGTTATTACCTAATCATTACTTTTTTTTTTGATAAGTTCATTTGAATCCTGTCTAAATTTCTGTTGATGGTTAATTGTTGAAACATAATGTTAAAGAATTTTTCTTTGGGATATAAAGTAAAGTGATCCAGTCTGAAGTGAGGGTCTTATACCCAAGTAAAGGAAAGTAGGAGGACATGGGATGTGAGTTGGCTGCAACAGATCAAGTAGCTTCATGAAAAGGCATGGTTGTGTTTAGGCAATGGCTAATACTTAAGGAACAGCTGCTGGTGTTGCGACAGTTATGCATTCCTTTCCACAGGCAAAGTGGTCCAACCTTGGCAGGTGGAAGAAGTTAAGGATGATAATGATTCCAAAGAGGAATTATACAGTTGCTTGAGATTTAGCAGGCCTTGATAACTGGCAGGAATTTAGAATTCAGCAAAGGAAGACCAAGGCGCAACAAGCAGTTACGTCAAGGAGATTAGAGGTGCAAGGATATCCTGCTGCAGGTGTTCAGAGCATTGGTGAAACCACACCTGGAGTATTATAAGAAAAGATATGCTTGTTAGAGAGGGAATTCTGCAATGGTTCACCGGGCTGATTATTGTCAGATGAAGAGAGATTGTGTTGACAAGCCCTGTATTCAATTGGGTTTAGAAAAATGAGAAGGGATTTCATTGAAATGTAGAAAATTCTGAGAGGGGTGGACAGATTGGAAGCAGGAATGGTGTTGCCCCTGGCTATAGGTCCACAACAAGAGGTAACTGTCTCAGGATGCAGGTAGACCATTTAGGACTCAGATTAGGAAGGTGTGAACCTGTGGATTTCTGTAACACATAAGACTCTAGAAGGCAAGTCACCAAATATATTTAACAAAGAAATAGATTTCTAGAGACAAAAAGTGTCTGTGGATATGTGGAGAAAGGAGAAGTATGGCCTTGAGATAGATCAGCCAACACCATATAGAATGATAGAGCAGGTTCATTGGGCCGAATGGCCTAATTTTATTTTCTATTCTTTTATAATTATGTAGCATTTTATCTTGTTCTACTTTGTTGTTCTTTGCAGGCTAAAGGAAGAGTATCCAGTGTGGTTTGAAAAACCTGTATTAGAACTAGTCCATCACAATACATTGTCCCTAGACAAATTAGTTGACAAAACATGGATGGAGATCATGACGAAGTTTGCTATTGGAGAACACTGCGAACTCCAGGTCAGTCTTGGGAGACCGTTTGTATGAACTTGAAAGATACTTCCATGAAGGCTTAGTGTATAATGAAGTTCTCTAGTCTCAGCCATAAATTCCAAGTTTAACTACAAGGCTGTGGTGCTTTAGCTGATTCCTGAGATGGTCCCTGGGCAAAGGAAAGAAAAACTGAACACAATTTAAGATCCTGATTACTGTCTACTTTCTCATTGAAGATACCACTTCATTGACACCAGAGGTTGTCATGATATTGCTGGGCATGTCAGCAGTCACTGTATGGCAACATTGATACAGTGAAGCTCCATCTTGCCATGAGTCACTGCTTCCTTTACTGTTTGCAGAAGAACACTGGAATTGAGCAAATTGAGCTATGAAATAATGGAAAGATCTTTGGGATAATGGCTAACTAATACTAAATATTTGGCAATTTGTTGGGTGAAAGAAGTTAACTAGGTGACAGAGATGGGTTTTACTCTTTTGTCCCTGGAACTTGGGGTCAAATGCCATTAGATCGTCCTATATCTAAAATTAGTTTAATTTGCATTTGGTTGTCTAATACTGATTATGATTCTGCTGCAGTAAAGGATTGTTTCCCTTACATAATATAGATGTGTGTAAATATTGTAAATTTACAAGTTAAGCCAAATAAATAAAACATTTCTTTTCTCCTAGGTTGGGGAAAATAAAATCCTTCCTGTAGTAGTGTTAAAAGTCCATCCTCTAGAGCCAAAGGAAGAATCATCTTCTCAGAAGAAAACTGATGGATCCTGTGACTCACCTTCCAGTGACAAGGAGAATTCCAGCCAGGTGGCACAAGAGAACCTTGGTATGGAAATCTGCAACAAAGTTGAGGACAGCAAGAGGGAAAACAATACAAGTATGTATCAGTAGTGTCATGTATGTTAGAGTGAGACAGACATGGTAGGGGGAAATTTGACAACATTTTTCCATTAGTTTGGGGGTGCCAAAAGATCTATTTAGCCCCCTTCCCCAAACACACACACATTTTCTTTTATATAAATTATCTCTGACACTGGATAAACTCTTTATCTTGTTTTGTTAACGATTCAATTTATCTTTTGTGAATTTTTATCTAATTGCAAAACCCACAATCTGTGATCTACTCTTAATGCAATAACTTAATTAATACAACTGTAAGTTTCCCTCCCATTGTCAATTGGAAAAAAATGTCCCATTGATTAAAAATACAGTTACTACATGTCTGTTGTAAGTATATTCCTCTTAATATTTGGCTGGAGTCTCTCTTTAATTTTTGGCTATTTTCTTGGCCTTGCTCTCTCTCCTAATCTCATGTTGAACTCCCACATTTCTATTCAGAAAGCAGCTGTGAAGAAATTCCTTCATGCTGAGCCTACCATTTTCCTCAACAACTCTGAAACAAGCAGTGTGTTGAAATTTATCAAGAAGACCAAAGAAAATTACAGTACAGGAACAGGCCCTTCAGCCCTCCAAGCCTGCACCAACATGCTGCCCGTCACTACTAAAACCCCCTACCCTTCTGGGGACCGTATCCCTCCATTCCCATCCTAGTCATATATTTGTCAAGATGCCCTTTAAAAGTCACTATCTTATCTGCTTCCACTACCTCCCCTGGCAGTGAGTTCTAGGCACCCACCATCCTCTCTGTAAAAAAAAAAAAACTTGTCTTGTATATCACCTTTAAACCTTGCCCCTCGCACCTTAACCCATGGCTCCTGGTAACTGACTCTTCCACCCTGGGAAAAAGCTTCTGACTGTCTAGTCTGTCCATGCCCTTCATAATCTTGTAGACCTCTATCAGGTCGCCCCTCAATCTCCATCGTTCCAGTGAAAACAACCCAAGTTTCTCCAACCTCTCCTCGTAGCTAATGCCTACCATATCACAAAACATCCTGGTAAATCTTTTCTGTACCCTGTCCAAAGCCATCACATCCTTCTGCTAGTGTGGCAACCAGATTGAACACAATATTCCAAATGTGGCCTAACTAAGGTTCTATAAAGCTGCAACATTACCTGCCAATTTTTAAACTCAATGCCCCGGCCGATGAAGGCAAACATGCAGTATGCTTTGTTGACTACGTTTTCCACCTGCATTGTGACCTGTGTACCTATACACCCAGATCCCTCTGCCTATCATTACTCTTGAGGGTTCTACCATTGACTGTATGTTTTCCATCTGGATTAGACCTTCCAAAATACATTATCTCTCATTTTTCCGGATTAAAATCCATCTACCATCTCTCTGCCCAAGCCACTAACCGATCTATATTCAACCTTTGTGCCATCCGCAAACTTACTAATCAGACCAGTTGCATTCTCCTCCAGATCATTTATAAATAATACAAACAGCAAAACTCCCAACACTGATCCCTGAGGAACACCACTGGTCAAAGCCCTCCATTCAGAAACGCACCCTTCCACTGCTCCCTCTGTCTTCTTTGACTGAGCCAGTTTGTTTTATCCATCTTGCAAGCTCACCTCTGACCCTGTGTAATTTACCTTCTGTATCAGCTTGCCATGAGAGACCTTGTCAAAGCCCTTATTGAAGTCCATGTAGACAACATCCACAGCCCTACCCTCATCGCTCATCTTCGTCACCTCCTCAAAAAACTCAACCAAGTTAGTGAGATATGACCTTATCTTCACAAAACCATATTGCCTCTTGCTAATATGTCCATTGATTTCTAGGTGGGAGTAAATCCTGTTTAGAAGAATCCTCTTCAATAATTTCCCTACCACTGATGTAAGGCTCACCAATCTGTAATTAGCTGGATTATCCTTGCCACCCTTCTTAAACAAAGGAACAACATTGGCTATTCTCCAATCCTCTGGGACCTCCCCTGTAGCCAGTGAGGATACAAAGATTTCCCTCAAGGCCCCAGCAATTTCCTCCCTTGCCTCTCTCAAAATTTTGGGGTATATCTCATCAGGACCTGGGGACTTGTCTACCTTAATGTTTTTCAAGACCCCCAATACCACCTCCTTTTTGATCTCAACATGACCCAAACTATCTACACACTATCAATATACAGAACTTCAGAGGTTTGACAATTTGCGGAATAAGATGTATTTATAAGAAAAAATTCCCATGTTTTATAAAAAGGAGTGTGAATTATTAAAGCAGAGGTAGTGCTGACCTCTCGCAAATTGTTAGTACCTAGTTAGACTGTTGTATCCAGTTTTGATTCCTTTTAGTAAGGATGAAAATGATGCAAAAGAGATTTGCTGCAATCATACTGAAAAAGAAGAGCCTTTGCTATGAGGACAGAGTAGAGAAACTATTATTTTAAGTTGAGCGAGGATTTTAATTGAGGTTCTCAAACATATGGGCTTTAATAAAGTAAATCAGGAGAAGTATTACTGCTAGCCAAGAATTCTGTAACTTGGAAGGCACAAGTTTGATATCAAAAGGATTGAAAAAATGTTTTACACAGGTAGATATTAGGACTTGAAATATCCTACCAGGCTATGTGGTAGCGAACATAATCCACAAACGCTTTTAAAAAAGAAGCAGAATAAATGTTTGGACATAAATGAAATAAAAGGGTATTGGGAAAGTGCAGGGGATTGGGAATCAGTTTGTCAGATCTTTTTGAAATCTAGCAGCAAGGGGATTTGCCTTTGGTATTGAAAAATGCAATATAAAGCATACAGGATTTGGGAGTTGGGCTGTTATGGGATCAGTAGGGGGCAAATACTGAAGTATTCAATTATTTTTTACAAAATTGTTACATTCAGTTGTTTCAGTGTAGTAATCCCTGATCTGAGAATCTTTGCCTGTGGGAGATGGAAGATTTTCAAATTCTGCCGAAGTGTGTGTTAAACTTAAAAACCTGGATAACAGCTAAAAGTTGATGACCCTTTCGTGGAGCATCTGTGCTCGGTACGCAGCAAATGACAGCACCTTCCGGTCACCAACCATTTTAACTCCCCTTCCCACTCTCTGGGTGACATGTCCATCCTGGGTCTCCTCCAGTGCCACAATAACGCCACAGGCAAACTGGAGGAGCAACATCTCGTATTCTGCCTTGGGAGACTACAGTCCAATGGCCTAAATGTGGAATTCACCAGTTTTAAAATTTCCCTACCCCTGCCCTCATCCCCATGTCCAAACCTCCCTCTCATCCCCACCTCCTTGACCTGATGCAACCTGTCCAACTTCTTCCCCACCTATCTGCCCTACCCTTCCCGCCGACCAATCCCCTCTACCCCCTACCTGCATCCAACCTATCGCCACCCCACTTACCTTGCCCCGGCCCCGGCCCCACCCCTCCTTTCTATTTATCTCCCAGCTCTCTTCCCCTTCCCCATTTCTGAAGAAGAGTTCCGACTGGAAACGTCAATTTTCCTGCTAATTTGATGCTGCCTAGCCTGCTGTGTCCCTCCAGCCCCACACTGTTGTCTATGAACTTTTGAGTTGACTTTTAAAGCTTTTTGCTTTTGGATTCGTCTCCAGTGCAAATTTTGCTGATCTATGCTTCTGTCTTTTGACACACTTGCTTTACAAAATCTGGAATGTTCACTTTATAGGTTTAGGCAGCAAGCAATAAATTGATAAAAGGTATGTGTAGATGAAAGTTATCATTCTCATTCCATTCCACACAGCATGATAGTGCCATTTATATGCTTCTGTAAAATGCCTTAAAGCTACCGGACCTGCTTTCCTTTTTGTTCAGTTTGGTTTGGTTTCATTGCATGCACTAATGAAAGTGGCTGTGTAATCTCCAGTATCTCAGCTGGCAATGTTACAACTGAATGGGCAAGGTTGCAAAATAAATAAGTGCGTATATTATGCTTATTAGGTGACAGAGCTCGTCGATCACCACGAAAGCTGCCTACAAGCCTCAAGAAAGAAGAAAAGAAATGGGTCCATCCAAAATTTCTGCCCTACAAGTATGATGTGAAGCTGCAGGAAGAGGACAAAGTGAGAAATAAAACAGATTTCAGTCTGTCTTTCTTGATCACGGAGGTCTTTGGTTAATCTGTTAAAGTTTTATCTATATATGGGTTGATTGGTTTATAATCAACAGTGATTACAGGCACCTTCTGATTTCATTTTTTCAAAAAGGCAGTTTTGCTCATTGAAAAGTTGAAGTGCGGACTGGGGACAGAGAGAAGCAGGATTTCTTAAATGTAGATGTATGTGATATTGGCAAACTTTATAGGTTGCTCTACATGACATGTACATTGTTCAGTCTGATAGATAATATAATAGATTTGTCATTGAATAATCCTAAAGTGCTATTAATTGATCATTTGACTTTTTTTAATTTGAACCTGTAAAATTTTTATTATTCCTGTTTTACCTTTATCTGCTTTATACCATTCGTGATCTAATTGGATAATTCCGTATCCCCTCCATGGTGTGTGTGATTTCTATGATCTGTCGATGCCATTTTCTTTCTTACTAGTTTTAAAGCACTTGCTGGCTGGCACCTCTTGCTGCCTCGTGCATTGAAATACTGCCATTGGATGATTGCTAGGCATGTCATTAACATTACTAGTTACATTCTATAAGGAGTTGGTTGGACAGCCATTTCTGATGCAGCGTAATGCCAACAGCATGGGTTCAGTTCCCGCACTCTCTGAGGTTACTATAAAGAACTCTTTTTCTCAACCTCTCCCCTCCTCTGAGGCATGATGACCCCCAGGTTAAACCACCACCAGTTGTTTCTAATAAGAGAGCTGCCTATGGTAGGACTATGGTGACTTTTTACATTCAATAAGAATATACCCACTGACATTTTTCTATGGACTTGATCTTTCTTTATGGATGTATTATTCAATCGGCTAAATGTGAAATGCAGAACAACCATTTAGGCATTGTTAAAACTGAACTGGAGAAGTGCATCATTACTCTAGTCACACTATTCCACAGGTCGCAACATAAACTAAAAACACTTCGTCCAGTTACCAAGCCGACCAGTTAGAAAACCTTGTTTATAGCAGCTTTTCAACCAAAAGTATCTATTACCCAAGTTTCTTAATAAACATAATAGTGGGTTTATTGTCCACAAAAACCATATGAAATGAAAATGCCATATTTGATTAACATATACAGCTAATAATATAAGAAGTATAAGTGCTAATCTCTCTAAAGATTCCCAAAGTGCACACAAACACATACTCTTCAGGGAAAGAGGAGAAAAAATATTTATCTGCAGCAATTGATTTCCTAAAAAAAAATTGGTCAATGGATTCTTGAATGTGAGGGTGTTCTGGAGCCCGGTGCTCTGATGTTCTAGCATCTGTCAATTTAATAATCAGCTATAACCATCTCTGAAGTATTGTAGACAAAATTTGCACAGGAAATAGAATCTTGAGGCGTCTGTTCACTTTTTTAAAGGAACAATAGGTTTCACCCTGAAATGGTCAAGGAGGGTTTTCTTTTCAGAAAAGGTGAGAAACAGCTGAGTTGCCTTTTTAAAGCAAGGTTCCCTCCAACTCAGTTGGTTCTCAGCTGACTTCTCTCCAACCCAGCTGGATTAAAGAATAGGTCCAAGCCAGTCAGTGTTCAGTAAAAACCCAGATCGACGACAGAGCAAGCCATTAACACCAGTACTGTCAGTTCTTGAAAGACTTTATTTTAGAAAAATGTCCAATGGCCTCTTAAAAAGAACACTCCAGATCTGTTAACAAAATTTTAAATATATTGAGGTGAAAGATTTAAAGTGAACTTGAGGGACAACTTTTTCACACAGAGGGTGGTTGGTATGTGGAATGAACTGCCAAAGGAAGTGGTAGAGATACAGGTACAGTAGAACATTTAAAACACATTTGGACAGTTACTTGAAGAGGAAAGGTTCAGAGAGATATTGGCTAAATGCAGGCAAATGGGACTAGTTTAGTTTGGGAACTTGGTCAGCATGGATGATTTGGACTGAAGGGTCTGTTTCCATGCTGTATGACTATGACTTTATAAATCCATTTTCCACAATCCTTCAAATCCTAAAGTTTCCAAGCAGTGAGCCTTTATAACATCACTCATCAGATCACTTGCTGAATAGAAGCAAAATTAATATTATTTTCTCACTGAAAGGCTCAGTCTCACTGTGTGAATTGACACAATGGCCAACAGCTCGCCAAACCTTTAATGCCTGTGTGAGCCAGAAATATTACTGGACCATATGCTAACCATGATCTTGACACCTGAGCTTGCTAGTTTTTGTTTAAGTGAGAAGTCCGTAAGCTGCTTTCAGGAATTGGCCCTGGGTAACAGCTTCACACACCATCCCTACCCATTACTACCAAAACCTATCAAGGGCTGTCAGTGGTGTTAAAGTATTCACAGTGCTTGATTAATTGAGATTAGTTTTAGCCTGGCTCCAACTTAATTCCTCATCTGTACGATGTAGTCTTGATCATTGCGCTAATGTTTTTGTCAGCATCCTATCTTTCACTCTACATCTTCCTTAACTGGAAAACATAAAAAATTCTAACTTGCACAAAGTACTAATCAGCAATCAACCCTGTATCTCCTGCCCTACATTGGCTCCATGTCAGTAAAATTTTTTTTTTTAAACACCCATCCTTTTTTAAAAACTTCACAGGACTATATCCTTCCCCGTTTCTAAACTACTTCAACCCTCTGCAACGTGTACGGTTGTCCAATTCTGTTATATTGTGAACTCCTGGTTTTAGTTGATTCATCATTGACTGCTAGGATCTTGCATTCTGGAATTCCTACAATACTTGGCTTCTCTCCTCAACTCTCCTTTTAAGACACTTCTCAGAATCTACCATTTTGTTTTTTGTTTCAGTGCTTTGCCTAGCATCTTATTGGAAGGCATTGTCAAGTTTTGCTTGGCAAACTCTTGTGAAGTGCCTTAAAATAGTTTACAGCATTAAAGATGCACCGTAAACGCAGTTTATTGCACAGTTTAGCTGATTTGATTAAGTAACTTAATTTGATTGGTTAGTTCATTTTACTGATTCCAGTATTGTTTTGATGTGTATCCTGTATAAAATCTTCTTAGTGTAGAGTTTGAGGAAAATGTAGACCTTAATTAAAATTCAGTATTAGTAAAGGGAGTCCTTTTCTTGTTGCTATAGATAATTGCTAACGTACCAGTTGAAAGTCTCATCCGATCGGAGCGGCCGCCAAACAAGGAAATCTTGCGATATTTCATCAGGCACAACTCCATGCGAATGGGGATGGGAGAAAATGCACCCTGGGTGGTGGAAGATGCGCTCGTGCAGAAATATGCACTACCCAGTAAATTCAGTGACTTCCTGCTGTCTCCATATAAGGTAATTTTATTGCATTCCTTGAAACATTTTGTGCTTGGACTGAAAGTCTGTTATGAGCAGGGGTATCTTTCACCTGGGGTACTGATCTGTGAAATGCCCTACCTTCCATTGTAATTAAAATTAACTCCGCATAGACTAGGAATCAAAGCAGAGAGCTTGTAGTTTGTATGATTTTAATTTGGTGCTGGTCAGACCATTGCTTTGCTTTTAAGTACTAGGTGGGAGTAGGACTGAGCAGACAGACAGGGTGAAAGTTTTTTTTTGCTTGGATTGATGCTTTTTAATTTTGCAATCACTAATTTCTCAGACTGATCCCAGTACAGCAGTGGTTGGGATGTTAATGTGAATTTCTTGATAATTAATGCAGCCTCCTAAATGGACTGAAGATGATGAGGTAAGCTGCTACGTCAGCTTGATCTGCATGATTCATTGTGCTATTAGTGATGGCTGTGTGTCTGTTTAGAGTATGGCTGTCCCTTTTAAATGTTTACTAGCATTATTTGCTGCTGTCTTCTCATGGGTTTGGGCAAGGATAAGGATTTTTAAAATGTTAATGAAATGTTTAATTGCGATTTAGGATTATTTTTGAAATCCGTGTTTGTTTGGGGAAAAAATAGAGGCATTTTAACAAGCTAGCCCACTGATGTTCTCAATTCAAAGAAAGTCCATATGTGAGCTTAATGTACTTGTGCGTTTGCTTGTTCTCTATATTTTCCATCTAAGCAGTCGTCAATTGACATTTTGTTCTGAATTGTTGAGAAATTTTTTTTGTACTCTGCACTGTAAATTGTTATTTCCAATAATTGACGGATGGATTAGTCCAGAAATGGAGTTTAATCCAACCTCCAGTAACAAGCGAAGCTGAAAGTTCTTTTTAAGGCTAATTGATTTACCACAGTTCCACACGGCCCAGTCATGGGTAAAGTTGGTTCTGTCGAATATGCTTTGGTCTGGCCATATTTATTTGTTATTCATTTTGTTCTTGTTCCCTGCCCATTTATGTATCATCAAAACATGGAAAGAAGTTGACATTCCTTTTCATTGGTGGTTTGATATGTTGGAATTGCTGACCTATTAGCATTGAAATCGTTCAAGGAAAAGGCCCACTATCTCTTGAGGGACTTGGGATGAACTATAAATACAACTTTGCCAGTTTTCACCTGCCCTACTTAGAGATTGTAAGCCATATCTGGAGTACTGTGTGCACCTCTGGTCACCACATGATAGGAAGAATGTGATTACACTGGAGGTAGTGCAGAGGAGACTCACCAGGATGTTTCCTGGCATGATGCACTTTACCAATGAAGAGAGGCTGGATAAGCTCAGGTGGATCTTTGAAACAGAGAAGGTTGAGAGACGACCTGATGAGGGTTTATTAAATTATGAGGGGTACGGATAGGGTGGATAGGACACTGCTGTTCCCCATAAACATGGAAAGTAGGAAGTTTAGAGAGGTTTTGAGGACGTGCACTGTTTGGGAGAGTTGTTCAGCTGAGTGGATAGAATTCCTACGGTTTAGAAACAGGCCATTCGACACAACAAGTCCATCCCGACTCTCCGAAGAGCATCCCACCCAGATTCCCCCCTGTACCCTGTCCCTGTAACTCTGTATTTCATGTGGCTAATCCACCTAACTTACACATCCCTGGACACTGTGGGCAATTTCGTATGGCCAGTGCACCTAACCTTCACATTTTTGGATCTGAAGGCTTTGATCATGTAAGTGGTGCAAAGGAGAGCAGTCCTCTTTCTGGAGGGCCAGCAGAGGAGTCTGCAGCACCAGACCCTGCAGCCTGGTTTATCACCTTGGTGGTCAATGCCACCTTGATGGTGATGAATAGCCAGCAGTACCATATAAAGGTCAATGATCTCTGCTCCACCAAGGTAAGGACCACACTCTTCACTCAGTTTCCTTACGTTCACCCATTCTGCTACTGGATACACCTTCCACCAAGGCTTATATTTTATCATGCTCACTGCTGCCTTCTTCCCTCATGTTCTCACTACCCATCACCCCAAATGTCCCAAACCACTAACCCTGCATTGCCTCTGGACTGCCTTCTCACTCCCCTGAAACACCGCCACCTACACCCACACTTTCCCGTCACTCAATCCCTCTTTTTCTGTCTTTCCAGGAGAAGATGGCACCGAATAGGGCAAAAAAGGAGACCAAAACTGAATGCAGTATTTTGGGTGTAGACTCACCAAGGCCCTGTATAATTGCAGCCAGACATCCCTACTCCAGTTTTCTAATCCTGTCACTCTGAGGGCCAACACAGCATTTGTTGCCTTGACCGCCTGCACTAGTGACTGTGTATGAGGATACCCAAGCCTTGTTGTACATTCCCCTCTTTCAATTTATAGCCATTCAGATAATAATTTCCCTTCCTGTTTTTGCTGTGAGTGGATACCCTCACATTTATCCATGTTATAATACATCTGCCATGCATTTGCCCGCTCACTCAGCGTATCCAAATCACACTGAAGCATCCCTGCATCGTTCTCACAGCACACCTTCCCTTCCAGCTTTATGTCATTTGCAAATTTGAAGGCATTACATTTAGTTCCTTCATCAAAATCAATATATGCTATGGATAGCTGTGGTCCTGGCACTGATCACTGCGTTACCCCACTAGTCGCGGCCAGCCAGTCAGAAAAATACTCTTTATTCCTACTCTGTTTCTTGTCTGCCAGCCAGTTTTCTGTACATTTCAGTACATTATCCCTAATCCCATGTGCTTTAATTTTACACTAATTTCTAGTCAAGTCTTCTGAAAGTCCAAATAAACTACATGCATTAGCTTCCCCTTATCAACTCTGAGTTACATCCTCGAAGAGTTCCTATAATTTGTCAAACATGATTGTCCTTCCATAAATCTGTGCTGATTCTGACTGATCCTGCCATTGATTTTTCAAATGCTCAGCTATTAAATCTTTCACAATCGACTGTAGTATTTTCCCCACTACTGACATTCGTCTGACTGGTCTATAATTCCCTCTTTTCTCTTTGTTTCCCTTTTTAAATAGGGGGCTCATTAGCAACCCTACAATTTGTAGGAACTGTTCCAGGGTGCATCTTGTCAGATAACTGCTTATGTAAACACTATTTCTAGAGCCACTTCCTTATCTGCTTTTGCAATGTAGATTATCAGAAACTGGGAATTTATCAGCCTTCAATCCCACTAATTTCTCTCAGTTTCTCCCTCTCACTAAACCCTGTTGTCCCCAACATTTCTGATATGTTATTTATATCCTCATTTGTGAATATAAAGCCAAAGTATGTATTTAGTTGGTAAGCTATTTCTTTGTTTCTCCATTATAAATTCTCCTGCTTCTAACTGTAGGGGATCTACATATTTTTTCACCAATCTTTTTCTCTGCATGCCTAAAGAAACTTTTACACTCCGTCTTTATGTTCCCCATAAGTTTACCCTGATACTACTTTTCCCTTTTTCAATCAATCGCTTTGTCCTCCTTTTGCTGAATTCCAAACTGCTTCCACCCCTCAGATTTGTTGTTTTTTCTGGCTGATTTGTTTGCTTCTTCATTGGATCTAATACTATCTCTAATTTTCATTGTAAGCCATGGTTTGGCTTTTTTTCCCATTTTACTTTTTCACTAGACAGGGCCCTATTCTTAAATTCAACTGCGTCATTCTCCATCTTGATGAGGAATTCATCTTATTATGATCACTCATCCCCAAAGGGCTTTGAACTACTGGATTGCTGATTATTCTCAACTCATTACACAATGCCCAGTTTAGGACGGCCTGTTCTCTAGTTGGATCCTCACCCTGTTGGACCTGAAAATTATTCCGTATATGCTCCAGGAATTCCTTTTCTCCGGTATTGTTACCAACTTGATTTGGCCAATTTGCATGCCAATTAAAGCCATCCGTAATTACAGATGTTCCTTTATTGCATGTATCTCTAATTTCCTGTTTAATGCAGTTCCCAGCATCACTCCTACAATTTCTCAGCTCTAGCCATAAGGATTCTACATCGTAAGAGCTAATATTCTTCCTCACGATTGTAATCATTTCCTTTTTAACCAGCAATACATCTCCACTCCCTTTTCCTTTTTTTGTCTGGTCCTTCCAAAATACTGAATACCCCTGGATATTCAGTTTCCATCCGTGGTCATCTTGCAGCCATGTCTCTGTCACCCTGACTATACCATACCTGTTTTTATCTATTCACATGATTAATTCATCCATTTTACTGCGAATGCTCTGTGCATTTTTAGCATTTCTTCCCCTGATATTTTTCACTGTGGGCCTACTTGACATTGGGCCGTTGATGTCTCTGCCTTTTGTTCTTCTTGATTCCTCTTCTTCTGACTCCTTGCATAGGTTCCCATTCCCCTGCCATTTTAGTTTAAAGCCTCCCCAGCCACTCTAACAAATACTCCCCCAAGGACATCAGTCCACGTCCTGCCCATGTGTAACCCATCCAGTTTGTGCTGGTCAAACCACCGCCAGGACTGGTCGTGATGCCCTAGGAATCTGAAACCCTTACCCACATGTTCATCTGATATATCCTGCTGTTTCTACTGTGACTAGTACATGACACTAGTAGTAATCCTGAGATCACTACCTTTTGAGGTCCTAATTTTTAACTTGCTTCCTAACTCCCTACCATTACATTAAGACCAGAATATTGACATTTGGGAAATACTTGGCTCTGTTTCAGTCTCACCAACAGCTGCGTATTGTTTCCTATCTGTATACTGTTTACCAATTGTCATTAACAGCCAGTTTTAATAACAGTAATTCTCGCTACCTAGAGTAATGGCAAAGACCTGTATTTATTTGCTTTTGATGTTTATTAAGGTGCAAGAAGTAGTAAATTCCCTGTGCTAAATGAATTTTTTTTAAAAGGTAAGTGGTTATGTTCTTTTTAGGCCAGTGTTGGAGAGCAGTGCTTCTTGCTCAGTTTTCTCTGCTGGCACCTCTGGCTACAAGAGTAAGAAAGAGACTAGGAATCTTGCAGTGAGTAATTCACCTAACTCCTCAAAACCTGTCTACCATTTATAAGGCGCAATTCAGGAGTGTGATGCGATACTCTCCCCTCACATGGATGAGTGCAGCTCCAACTACACTCAAAGCATGCGAACTGTCCAGGACAAAGCAGCCCACTTGATTAGCACCACATCCACAAACATTCACTCCTTCCACTACAGATACTCAGTAGCAGCAGTGTCTGCCATCTACAAGATACGCTGTAGAAATTCGCCAAGAGTCGTTAAACCGCACCTTCCAAATCCACAGCAACTACCATAAAGAAGGACAAGCACAAAAAGTATTGGGAACACTACCACCTGCAAAGTTCTCTTCTAAGCCACGCAATATCCTCACTTGGAAGCACGTCACCATTCCTTGGGTCCAAATCATGGAACTCCCTCCCTAACAGTACTATGTTTCACCTGCAACAAATAGACTGCAGTGGTTTAAGAAGGCAGTTCACTTCTTGATGGCAATAAGTGCTGACCAACCAGTAACATCTACATCCTCTGAATAAAAAGAAAAGTGCAATCCTGCAGTAGAGAGGCAAGGGAGATTAGTTTGTAGTTTCAAAATATCACAGATACGGTGATTTGGAACTCTGGTTTACAGAGTTTACTGCAATATACAGATTTAAAGGTAATTAATTCCTGGTATCAGAAATGTAAATTACTAGCATAGATTAAGGGATGGTTGTTTATTTGTTTAGAAGTATAGAGTTAATTAAAGTGTCAACTTCTGAAACGTGAGAAAACTGGAGACCAATTTGTTCACTGGTGTACAACTAGAATACTAGAGCAGTTTAAAATTGAGAGCAGGGAATCGTTTGCAAGGGAGTGAAATCTTGAAGTAAGAGTGTCTGCAACGTTTGTACAGTATAGGGCATTACTGAAAGCTCGCTTACAGTATTGCATACAGCTTTGGTCTCCCAATTTAAGGGGGATGTACTTCTTTTGGAGGCAGTTCAGTCAGGTTCATTAAGTTGATTTCTGGTTTGAAGGAGTTGCCTAGCAAGGAAAGGTTGAGCAGCCAAAACTCGTTAGGAGTTTAGCAGAATTGAACATGATCTTATTGAAATATGTAAGATTGAGGGTGCCAAACAGAGGAGATAGTTAGAATGTGTTTCCCCTCGTGAGGGCATCTAGAACTAGAAGACAAAGTTTCAAACTAAGAGGTCTCCCCTTTAAGATGGAAGATGAGAAATTTCTGAGTGTGGTTAATCTTCAGAATTACCCATAGTGCAGTAGAGGTTAGGTCATTGAATATATTCAAGGCTGTGTTAGTTTTGATCTACCAGGAGAGTCTAGGGTTACTGGGGGTTGGCAGACAGTAAAGTGCAGTTAAGGCCATTATCAGATCAGCCAGAAACAGGGCCATGTGTCCTACAATTTTTTTGCATGTGGCAATACAATTGTAGAGTAAGTAATTAGTCCGATTTATCAGCTCAGAAGGTTGCATTCTCACCAATGTTTGGAAGTTTTGTTTTTGTAGAATATCTACCATAAAAATCCATTGAAACCGATGGCACAAAGAGAAAAGATGATTTATTTCTTGAGGGAATGATGTATTGAAAAGCTGGATGAAAGCGGGGGGTGGGTTAATTTATGAAAAGTGGGTGGGACGAATTTCATCTGATCATTTTTGCACTAAAAAAGTGTTAATGTCTGTTTGACTTCATCATACTACTTAATTACACAGCATAATACTCTCTACCAGAGTCCTGTGCACCTTGTGGCATAGGTCATTTCACATACATCTTGTTGACACTCAGCTGAATGCAACAATATGCATCATGTATTCATCTACTCAATATTTCTCCCTTGGTTTACTGTTGTCTCAAACATCATTTCCCGACAAAATCAACAACTTGTGGGTTTTCTTAAGCTGGTTGAAACCATCCATGCTGCAGCTTACCATTTCACAAACAGAATGTAATACACCTGTACAATCATGCTGTGACTATCTCAGAGCAGGTGGAGTTTGAACCCAGACCTTCTGGCCCAGATGAAGAGACACTACTACTGAGTCACGAGACATTTCACTCACCCCTTCATAATCTCACGTTCAATCCATCTACTCTCAGCCCTTCATTTTGGCACCCCAAATAGAAAAATCTTATTGAGCACGATCCACATGCTAGACATCCTTTGCATCATGAAATAAATAATGATTGGGCTTTAATAAGTTCTTTGTGACAAACCCAGTATGGTGAATGACAAGCTTTGAACTACCATGGCAAGCATGGTCTCTTCTAAAGAGGTTCAA